AAAGGTTCGGGCTTTTGAAAAGTAAAAAAAAATAAACACGAATGATAATCATGTTTGATTTTAAAATCTCAATGACAATAAAGAAGGGAGGCAGCAGGTGAGCTGTATTGGAGTATAGTGACAAAGTCGCTGACGTTTTAGCGGAACTTCTAGAAAGTAAAAAAAACAAAAATGATAATTATGTTTGATTTTTATAATGGCAGCATTCGACGAGATTTCTAAAAATTATAAAAATGAAACCTAACTGGACAATAAACTCTAAATACTATAAGATCCAATGAATGAATAGAAACCGTTATAGATCGAGCAAGCAACTAAAGAAGGATATGGATATGACAGAAGTAACGATTAGCAACTGATGTAACTTATTAAAATTATAAAATTAGAAACATGGAAATGATAAGGTTTGGTCTTTCAAACTCTTAAGACAACAAGATAACTATTTAATAAATTTTAAGTAAAATCATATAAAAATATATAATTTTGTATTGGTGCTAACCGCGCAATTGCGCGGGCCACCCATCTTGTTATATTATTAAGACAGCCTTAAAAGGAGGGCACCACGTTAAATAGTGGTAGATCGAGCAAGCAAATAAAGAAGAGATGACATAAGGGGTAGCACCTGATGTGACTTTTAAAAAACTAATAATTAGAAATACGGGGATGATAAGGTTTGGTCTTTCAAAGTCTTAATACAATGAAATAGCTATTTAATAAATTTTAAGTAAAATCATACCTAAAAAATATATGATTTTGTTTGGATGCTAGCTGCGCAATTGCGCGGGCCACCTAGCTAGTTACATATTATTTTAATATAAATGGGCCCATCTATCATCAGTTTATGGTAGTAGGGATGCAGCAAATAGGTCTCCTTGCGCTGCACCTGTGGGCCCAGCGTCTGGGAGTTCGCGTGCAGCCTAGCGCTTATTTAGTCGCCCGCTAGCATTCTCTCACTGTCCTTCTCTCCTCTAGCACAGCATGCATGCGAGCCAACATGGATACACTATCGCCGACGGATGAATCTTTATTGTACCTGCTCTAAGCCACCAATGGCACTAGTGGGCAACACTCGGTTGGCCTCCTCCTCCCTAAGCTAAGGGGCAGCTCCATTCCATTGTATCATCATCTTCTTTGACTCCTCGTTTGTCGAAAACTTCACTGACACCTTCCGCCTCCTGATTGCACGGCCTCCCTCGTCGTCGATTTGGGCCACTTGGCCTACTGTTGGCCTCCATCTTGATGTATCTTGACGTTGCTTAGGAAGGTTCTCAATCGGAGGCGATGGCTAGTGGTGACGGATGCACAAGATGAAAGAGAGAATAGATGAGAGGGAGAAGTGGGGAGGAGGATTAAATGGGAGATGCATTTAGGTCTTTTCATCTAGTCCTTAATGTCAGATGGGGGAATAAGTAAAAATAGCACCAGTGAATAATAAGGGTGTGACCAGTGATAGCCATACGAACCGAATGGTCTCATGAAAAAGATGCACTGCTATAGAAATCCATAATGGTCTCGGTTTGCAACCCTCTTTAATCCCTGGTTGCAAACCGGGATCACGAGTCCGGGACTAAAGATCGCCATCTTTAGCTGGCCGCCGCCCGCTACGCCGGAGAGAGAGAGGATAAAGAGAAGAGGGGAGTAGTGAGGATGCCATTTTTTATTATTTGTGTGTAACTTACATATGGGTCCCACGGGTTTTATTATTTTTTCAATCGAATTATCATGTAATCATCACATCAATGTCACGTTGGGACGAAGACTTAGTCAAAGGAGCACCATGTAGGCGCCACATCAGCCAAAACCGGGGACAATACTACCAAGGTACCTCGTTTGCACGATTTTGTAAGTTGGGGGTGCGTTATATCCGGTTTTGTGGTACAGGGACATATTTCGAACTCGGAGACAAATTGAGGAACCTAAAGTGAACTTATACCTTTGCTATTGAGTAAAGTCCATCACCGGTCCCTGAACTAGTACCGTTGTGTCATTCCGATCCCTAAACTCGTAAATCGATCGTTCAGGTCATCAAACTTGTTCGACTGTGTCATCCTAGTCCCTAAACTTGCAGATCACTCGTTTAGGTCCTCCAACTTGTTCAGTTGTGTCACCCAGGTCCCTAAACAGGACGGTCTAAAAACTTTATATCAAAAAATAATTCATAACATGTTCATGTGAACTCTAATGAAAATAAACTTTATATCAAAATTGTAGCCCTCGACGTGACCTACAACTTTGTAGTTGAAAAGTTTTTGAATTAAAACCGTTTAGGGTCCCAAAATATTGTTGCATGTTTATAGATTTTGAAATTTTAATTTTAAAATTACATTTTGGGACAAAAAATGACTTAAAATAAAAAAAAATTCAACTACAAAGTTGTAGATCGCGTCGAGGGCTACAAGTTTGATATAAAGTTTGTCTTCATTAGAGTTCACATGAAAAAGTTATGAATTATTTTTTAAATATAAAGTCTTTAGACCGTCATATTTGACCCAGATGATATTCAAATCCAAGTTTAGGGACCGGGGTGACCCAACTGAATAAGTTAGAGGACCTAAACGAGTGATCTGCAAGTTTATGGACCGGGATGACACAGTCGAACAAGTTTGAGGACCTGAACGGTCGATTTGCGAGTTTAGAGACCGGGATGACATAACGGTACAAGTTTAGAGACCGGTGATGAACTTTACTCTTTGCTATTATCACTGGGAAAAAGTACACCGAAGGTCCCTCAACTTGTCATCGAGTTACAAAATCATCCCCCAACCGTAAAACCAGATACAACGCGTCCTCCAACTTACAAAACTAGTGCAAACTAGGTCCCTCGGCGGTTTTGACTCCTGTTTTGTCCAACGTGGCAGCTGATTCAGCGTGGGACCCATGTGTCAGCCTCCTTTTCCCTCCCCTCTCCACTTCTCTTCCTCTCTCCTCTCCTCTCCTCTCCTCTCCTCATCCCCTCTCTTCTCTGTATCTATCCACTCTCTCCCAAAGGATCAGCCGAGCAGAGGGGAGCGGAGCAGTGCCGCCGCCGCTGGCGACGAGGCCTGGGTGGATGACCGAGAGGAAGGGGCGCGGGTGTCGGCGAGGCCCCACGCGAGCTCGGCGAGCTCGACGGGCGACATCACGTCAGGCTCCCAAAGCTGACGTACAGCACCGACCCGGTCGGCTGCTCGTCAAGCCAAGCCATGCACGCGGCGTCCTCTTCCCACAGGCTCAGCCCAGCGGCGCCGCCGCCGACTAGGTTGTTCGCGCGGTCGGCGCCGAGCGGGCCGATGGTGTACACGCGCGGGAACTCGTCCCTGAGCACGTCGAAGACGTCGGACTCGAGGTCGTCGAACGTACGTGTTGAGGATGAGCCCCGGCGCCCTGGCGCAGCTGTTCGCCTCGTCCTCGTCCACGCGTAGTGCGAAGCTGGTCGGGTCGAGCGTGCGAACGAAGCTGCAGACGTCGCCGAGACGCACCGTCGGCACGCCGGCGATCCAGTCTATCGGCGTGTCCAGGTAACTGTTCGTCAGGTAGCTCTCGTCTGCCATGGCAGGGGAAGCAAAAGCAAAGGATTTAGTCCATCGCATACAATATAGCACGCGCCAAGTGTGCAAGCACGTGTGACAACAAACACATCCATGGCGATATCGATCATACACGTGCGACGGAGTGATCGCTCACCGGACGAAACGGACCTTTGAGCGAATGAGCGGCGTGTACCCTCTCTGCCGTAGCTGGCGAAGCCGGAGCGTGCACGCGAAGCCGCAGGCGCTGGTGCCCCAGAGCACGAACGCCGGCACGCCGAGCTCCTCCGCGACGTCGAGCGCGAAGCTGACGAGGCCACTGAGCACGACGCATGTCACGGGCAGCACACCGCTGCTGCCGTCGCTCGCCACCCTCCTCGCAACCTCCACCAGCATCGCGCGCAGCTCCTCCGCAACGACAGGTACAGCCTCACCGTGCTGTCCGGCACCGCCTCGAACCGGAACCCGTCCCGCCCACGCAGCGCCCCGCCGCCGCCGCAGCCGCTCGTGGTTGTGCTCCGTGTTGACGAACGTGACGGGCACCCTGCGCGAGTGCAGCAGCTCGGCCAGCTTCAACGTCGGGTTGATGTGCCCTGAGCACGGGAACGGGAACAGTATCGCGTGCGCTCTCCTCCCCTCTCCCATGGCCAACGCCAACAACAACGACGAGGACGAGGACGAGGACGAGGAGGAGTCGCACATGGGAACAGGAGTACGCGGCTGCTGTGGAGCGGCGGCGCACGAAGTTGGTGGGATGGAGCGGAGCGGCGACGGGCGGAGTGGAGCGACGGCGAGGCGGAGCAGCGGCGGGTGGAGTGAAGTGACGGCAAGAAGGAGCGGCGGTGCATGAAGTCGCCGAACTCGACTCCCTCTCGGGGACGCTGCTCGCCGCACCGTCCCCGCCCTTCCCGGCGCCCTCCAACCTGCTCGCCGTCCTCCGCACCCCGTCTCCGCCATCCACCGCGCCGCCCTCCAACCTCGACGGCGTGCTCGCCATGGGCGGCGGCTCGCCGTGCTATCCCCTTGACATGGGCAGATGCACGCGCCAGCTGCTCCCCAACCGCCCGCGCGCCGCTTCTCCGCCGCCGGCCGCCGTCGTGGCGCTGCCCTCCTCGCGGCGTCAGATGAGGAGAGAGAGAGAGTAGGAAGGGAGAGAGATTGACGTGGCATCCTAAATGTGGGTCCCACATTGACTCAGCCGCCGACAAAACCGGAGCCAAAAACATCAAAGGAACTATCGTGACCAGTTTTAATTAGTTGAGGGACGCAACATATCTCGTTTTGTGGTTGGGGGATGATTTTGTAACTCGATGACAAGTTGAGGGACCTTCGGTATACTTTTTCCTTATTACTGGTCGGATAGATAAGGAACACATAAACAGGCCAGGGTTGCAGACAAGGCCCAGCACGATTTTCGGCCGTAAAGGAGAACAAGGCCGGGACGAAATATGAGGCGTATCCGACACGGTCGCTATTTACTCTCCTACTCCTCCCTTTTATTACTGCGGGACCGCGTCCCACGAGAAGAAAAAAAACAAAAAACAAAAACCAAGGTTTTTCTTCTTTTTTTTTTATCCTTTCTTGAGAATGGCTTCCTCACCGCTGCTCCGATCCGCCGGCGGCGTGCTCCGGCGGTCGATCCATGGAGCGCGGGAGCAATCCAGCCTCTTCTTCTTCCCCACCGCCACCGATTTGGCTGGGAGGAGACAATCCGTCTACAAGCAGGCGGCGTTCCCCTCCTCCTCCTTCGCCCGGCCATCGCTCGCGGTCGCGGACCACCCGCGGCGCCTCTTCAGCTCCTCCGGTTGCAGCGGGAGGACGGAGCCCGCTGAGGTGATAATACTCTTCCTCCCCCCCCCCCTTCCTCTGGGATCCCGTTACATCTGTGAAATCTCATACTACAGCCTTGCTGTTTTCTTCTTCTTCTTCCTCCACTGGCCTTGAGTTCTTGGTTTTGGGCTTATCAGGGCATACACATCATCTTAATTAGGCTGTGTTAGAAGCTAATGGTTGGTAACCCGTCACCCGCACACAAAATGGGGCGGTGGATTAGCCCATGATTAACTGAGAGCCCCATTATCTCGCTTATTCGTATGCTCATCTGAATCGCTTATTAGCAAATTAAAAAAAAATCATCGTTTGCGAGTAATTTTTTTTATATACGTGTTATTAGTGACTCAAAAATAAATGTTGTAGAATAAACTAAACTACGATGACAAAACCAAACAAATCAAAATAAAAACTAAGTTCTAAAATTCAAATTTAGCTTATAAGCATAAACATAAGCGAAACAATGAGGGCCCTAAGTATTAACTACAAAAACACTTAAAATAGATTAATATAATTTTTATAGCAACTTTCCTCTAGATTTTTTTTAAAAAAAGTTTTTAGTAGTTCAAGAAGTGTGGGCACGGAAGAAAAGAGAGTAGAAGTTGGGTAGAGGGAGTACAGAACACACCTCGGAACAAGTTTATTCCAAAATATATGGTGGGGGGAATCAATCAATAGCCTGCTACAAGAAGGGACTGTATATTTAACCTTCCGTATACAGAGATAGCATGGCTTGATTTGTAAAAAAATAAAAAAATAAGTTAGCATAGAAAACATGTTAACTATACTCTGTTATGGATAGCAATAGGTTGTCATAATCGTCATACACCAGGTTTTGATGCAAGTTAATGTTTTAATCCATCTGTTCTTTTTTTTCCCGTGATGGATGATTTGTTGGAAACTTGGATTCCATGTTTTTCATAAATCTTACAATTTTGTAAATTCGGAAAATGAATACTCAGAAAAACAGTGTCACTGTAAATGTCCTGACAAAATTATATGAGCATCGGTCTTCTATCTTAATCAAAATGCGGACATTAACTTTTCCACAAATTCTTAACATACCAAAACCTCCCACCGTTTGGGTGATGCAACTTCTTTTAAATTGCTTATTTAGTTCAAATTCCTAAGCATTTGGATCCAAATCCCTTGTATTCAAATAGGCCATTAGTTTTTTAAAAAAATGCAGTACTCCTTTTTACTTCTTTTTGCTAATTTAAACAACATAAGAGTAGTGGCGAGAGTAGTGGCAATAACCTAAGGAGGTAGATACCTTCTTCTTCACAATTTTAACCATTTATTTTTTAAACTATTCTGTTCAGCAACTTTAAATTAGACATACTCACCACAGTTCTTCACCATTGCCTCCAACAGCTGAAAATATTTCGTGACCAATATTAACAAGAAAAATCATAATCATGGAGTACTCGCTGCCTTATCATATGCTGATAGCTCAACAGTGAGTCAGTGACAGATAAGTAAATGGGCATTGACAAACAAATTGATGTTAGTCACAGAAATAAAAACTGGAGGTTCTCACATGAAAATATTACACAAGGGTAGATATTGTGATTAAAATTGTAGCACGAACCATCAACGTGAAAAATTCAACTCTGGCATCCTTATGCTCCAACTGCTTCACAATTTTCTACCACGCCTTGGTTTGCCTGATTCAAAGTGGCTGATAGTATTCTGGGTGACCAGAGATTCAGAGGTAACCTTCCATCTACAAGTTATTTTTTGGAGACAATGCAGTTTTAGCAATTCAAACTGTCGAGTTTACCAATAAGAAATAAATAGAACATTTAATGTGTTTAGTGATGCAGTATTTTTCACTGTACTGTTCAAATTGAATGTCTACATTCTATATAGTTAAACTACAGAGAACTTTGAATGCATTTTTTTTACCATGAACAGCAACTTAGACTAAAAGTATAAACTGCCTTCAGACCTTGTATTTTCAATAACGAAAGTAGCAAGCTAAAGCAACCAGTAAAGCTACAACATATTTACATGGCGAATTACTCAACAGATATAGCACGGCCTGATTTGCAACAAAAAAGAAAAGTAGAAAGAAGATAGCATGCCTGTAATAAAAACAGATTAGTTTAACCATATTCTGTTAAAGGAGAGCAACAGGTTATGGTAATCATTGTAAACCAGATTCTGATGCAAGTTACTGTTTTATTCCATCTCTCAGAAACTTTTATCAATGGATGAGTTTTTGGAGCACAGAAGGCAATTCGGGAAGAACGGGGAGGAGGATACTTTTAGAGATGCAGAAATTTCAGAACATGAAAAGCGGGAGGAGAAGCTCCTTCGTAAAAGATTGTCATCTACTGTCAAAAAGTTGTCCCGTTGCTTACACGAGAAGAAGCCTCTAATTCTAGAAATTGGAGTTCAAATAGAAAACAATAATAAGTGCGTAGACCTCACTGTTTTGGATATGCTTTTTTTTGCTACTCTTCCTAATCATGTTTCTTGTATGTATGATCAAGTTAAATACTTTCTGGTGTTAATCCCTAGCTTCGTTTCTATCGGTCTTATTCTTGATAAACTCCATGTGTTTGGTTGACTCCAAAAAGAAGGGCAACTTCCAACGTAACTCTTATTCAAGTGTAAACCCATTTTTATATTTTGGTCATGACTTTTGGCTAGTACTAGCAAAAGGGTCCCGTGCGTTGCAACAGGATTTGAAAAAAATATGGTAATGGTTCCACCTCATGATCAAGTATATTGGAAACGAACCCTACTATATGTACGACGTTGCTGTCCGATCGTGTTACGGCGTGGGCACAGCTAACATGCGCACACCAAGATTCATCATAGACTGAATCATCTATCGGGTGTGAAGCTTTCAACGTTGCTTTGGTCGTACACAGGAGTCGGACAACAATGTCATATCTATATTACTAGAAAAAATACCCATACGTTGTAACGGATGAAATGTATTTTAATCTTATTGTTGTTATACGGTTTAGTTAAGGTGAGATTCACCGTGGGAATTTGCTTGAATATATACTTTTTAAAAGATCATGAGCTGCAATTAGGATTTTTGTGCACATAATATAATTAACTTTAATTTTTAAATTAAAAACGGGTTCATTATAAGATTTTATAATCAACAAAAAATTTGTTGAAGAAAGAGGTACTATAGTTTTGATTTTTCATCAACCGGATGTGCATGGTCCGTGCTAGTGGTAGAGAAAAAAAAAATTGCGCGCAAATATGATTTGACAGGAGGGAGGAAAAGTAGACTTATTCCAGGAGAGGCCCATAAAAAGGTAGACTTATTCCGAGAGGCCTATAGACACAGTGCAAGTAATATAGGTGTAAAAAGGAGAGAGAGGTGATTACATGGAAGATACATATACTATATCAACCACGGTTTTGACCCGACAATTAAACGGATCACCCAAAATCCTTACATATTTTTTTATTAGGTATAGAGGTATATATTAGAATTAGAATTAAATAACATGTTATTATTAAAATAAAATACTAAATATATTTTTATTAAATTCTTCATGAATGAACCACACTATCTAGAATTGTTTTGAATTTTTCAAAGCTCAATTGCTAATTTTAATAATACAAATATAATTTTAATAATTAATTTAAAGTAAAAACAAACTAAAAGCCCTCTCCTAAGTCTAGGTCAAATCTGGCCCATTCTTCTTCTCCTCCCTCTTGGGCTGCCATCCCTTCCTCTTGGCCGTCATCCCTATCTCCACTTGGGCCCAGCAGCCACCTCTCTTCCTTTCCTCCTTCTTGGGCCACCATCCTCGGGCCCAACAGCCATGCCAACCCATGAAAAGAAGCAGATGGGAATAAAACCGAAAAAGACACGGAAAAAAAAGGAAAACGGCGAAAAAAAACGCACGGACGAAAAAAAATTGTCGGAAGCCTTATGTATATATAGATTTTCGATTGGAAACTCATCCTCTAATGTAACAACTCGTATGTATGTATATTGTGCATCCAGGGCATCCTTTCTGTCTTTGGTGCAGCGTCCGGGTTGCGCATCAGCTTTGCCAAATGCTTGATTACTCTGATGCGTTGCTCGGCTGAGGACCTGGAGTTGGTTCAGTCCTGCTTTCCTGCTCGATTTTTGACTTTCCTTACACCTACCTCGGCATTACGTTGTCTGTTCGCATGTTGTTGAAGGCAGCCCTGCAACCGCTTGTGGATAAAGCTTCCCATCGACTCCCCCCCCCCCTCCCCCACGGAAGGGACGACTCACCACTCTGGCTAGCCGCTCTGTGTTGGTCTAGTTTGTTCTCTCCTCCATTGCGATCCATGTGTCTATGGCAATCGGCCTTCCAGTCTAAGTTATTAAAGCTATTGACAAGAAGCGACGTGCCTTCCTATGGACGGATACGGACTCGGCTCATGGGGGGCAGTGCAGGGTGTCCTAGGCGAAGGTGTGTTGTCCCAAAGCTTTCGGTGGATTGGGAATTCCTGACCTCAGGATGGCATGGTTTGCTCTGCGTGTTCGCTGGCTTTGGCTTTAGTGCTCAGGGCATCCCTACTAGGATGGCTTGAAGGCCCCAGTCGAGCGGACCGTCTCCGACATGTTCGCGGCGTCCACCTTCTTCGTGCCGGGAGATGGAGAGTTAATGCTCTTCTGGTCTGACCAATGCATCGGTGGCCGCTCGGTGGCCTTCTTGGCTCCAGATCTCCTCTTCACCGTGCTCCAGTGCCTCTGGGGTTCGCGCACGGTTGCTTCTGGCTTGGTAAACAATTCCTGGGTTTCTGACATCCGCGATGCCCTCACTGTCCCGGTAATTTCCCAGCTCCTTCTTGTGTAGGATGTGGTGCTTCACATACAAGCTCTCGCCAGGAGTCGGGGATCATCTTGTTTGGCGTTGGATGAGTGACCAGTGCTACTCGGCGCGTTCAGTATACCAGGCGTTCTTTTTTGGTCAACACTCATTTGTACGTGCTGATCTTCTCTAGCACACGAAGAGTCCTGCTAAATGCAAGGTCTTTCTTTGGTTTGCATTTCAGCAGCGCTACTGGACGGCCGATCTCCTCTAGAAGCATGGCATTGATAGTCACTCGGCCTACCCCTTTTGCACTCAGCATCTTGAGACGGCGAACCATATCCTTCTCGACTGCGTGTTCGCTCGGTAGGTCTGGCTCCGTGTGGTGTCGCTTCCTGGCTAGGGTACCCACCCCCTCCCCCGAGGTAGCTGGCTCCAGGACTGGTGATCATCCTCTAGGGCCTACTTGCCTGAGCATCTCTGTGTCGGCTTGGACTCCCTGGTACTCCTGGTCTCTTGGCAATTGTGGAAGGAACGGAACTCCAGGGTTTTCGACTTTGCGCTCTCTTTTGTCTCAGTGGTTCTGGAGTCCATTCTTCTGTTTCAGTGGTTCTGGAGTCCATTCTCTCAGAGGGCCATATGTGGTCTTTAACTGGCGTTGCTGCTTTTGGAGATTTCTTGGGAGTTTAGCATGTTTTGCCCCCTTCCTACTGATCGGAGTTGAGTTTAGCCTCCGTAGACAGATTTTGCTTTGCTTTTTCTCCCTTCCCCTGGCATAAGCCGATCTGGCTGATTGTATTGTGTAAGAAAAACTCTTTCATTCTAATATATTGACGTGCAATCCTTTTGCGCGTTCATAAAAAAATAGTATAAGACAACTACCAGTTTTAAAAATTAATAGATCATCTACAACCAACCTAATAACTTACTCTCGTGTGTTGTAACAGGATTTTAATTGCTAAAAATGATCATTAACCGACTATTATCATTACTTTTTATACATTATCTCTTAAATTTTATATATATTTCTAACTAACATATAGGTCCTATAGCCTCACAATATTATTTTTCCTTTCCACGAAAAGTAGAGATGGTTATGAGGGTAGTTGACATGTATGTTCTTTGGCCCCACATGTTCTTTCTTCACTCCAAAAGGGTACGGAGTTGGTGGTGGGGTGATGGCAGATATCCATACTTGTGAGGTACGAAGAAGAACATCACAAATGGATGAGGGTTTTAATTAAGGCCGAGTTTAGTTCCAAACTTTTTGTTCAAACTTCCAACTTTTTTATCACATCAAAACTTTCCTACACACAAACTTCCAACTTTTCCAATTTCAATCAAACTTCCAATTTTGACGTGAACTAAACACACTCTAAGGATTGAATCAATCCATTTTATGCCATCGATAAAGCGTAGGTTCTACAATATGCCACCGATAAAACTCAATTCTACAATATACCATCAAATAACTTATTTTCTTCCTTATATGTCATCGTCGTTAGTCAAACGCCATTAAGAGAGGAAAAATGACCATTTTACACCTAGGATAAAATTGAGATTTTGCACAATGCCACGTCGCACTAAAAAATCTTGGATGATGAAAAGACAAGTATTTCTATTTTTCATCGATGAGAAGAAATAGTGGATCATGACCAATGAAATCGATGAAGATGCATGATACCCTAGGGGTAAAATATATATTTTCTTGCTCTTAACGGAATTTGACTAACTGTTGACTAGCGGCGATAGCATGTTAGGAAGAAAACTAATTGTTCGATGGTATATTATAGAACTGAGCTTTGTCAGCGGCATATTATAGAATTCATGTTTTGTCAATCGCATAGAATGGATTATCTCTTAGTTTTGTTTGTTTATTTGTTTGTGTGTGTGGCTAGATGTGAAAAATAAATTAAAATTGGTTGAAACTCCTAAAATGACAGAGAGAGATGATAGTGCTATTTTAAATGTACAATATTAGGAGTGAATAATGATTAGCACTCGGTTATTTTTTTAATTATTTTCTATGAGCATACTAGGATTGTAAAAACAGAAAAAGAAAATACGAGAACAAAGTATTATACTCATTGAATGTCCATAGGGATTAAAAACACACTAGACTTCCAAAACTAATGTTTGGATGACACATATCAAAAACGTAAAACTTTGCGTCATATAGGAATAATAAACATGAGATTGAACCTCATGCTAGTTTTTCTCTAAAAAATATGCACTTCGGTCCATTCCATAAAAATATCGAAGTAAGACATATTCCTTTGCTCGTACAGAAATCCAATGCATTAAAATTCTTTTATTGTTAGTTTTTTGTTTGTTTCAAAGGAATCCTCATAATGTAAAGTGTCAATTTCTCAAATTTCATATGAGTGGATAAGGTAAAGTATTTGGAAAACAAGCCGTCCCTTTTCGTTTCACCCAGAGAAAATGTTTGGGAGATTAATATTCTGTGAAATAGCTTTTCGATAGCTAACTCATGAGAATCTAAACTGATGCTTTTTACTTATATTTCGTTTTTTATTCTACAATTATAACTTGTTGATAGAGAGTTAGGGCCCCTTTAAATCAAAAGATTTATGTAGAAATTTCATAGGATTTAAATTCTATATGAAAATTTCCTATTTGGCCCTTTGATTCAAAGGATTGAAACTTGAATTCCTACGGAATGACGTATTGTATATGGATTTTGGAAGAAACTTAGCAAGAGGTTCAACCTCTTGGAAAATTTTCTTTAAGTCTATCTCTCTCATCTGATTCCTGTGTTTTTTCTGTAGTCCAATGAAATGATCATTCAATGTTTTTCTTGTGTTTTACAATCATCTGTTTTATGCTTCAATTCCTATCAGAATCCTGTGTTTTTTTTTCAATTCCTCCATTTTTTTCAACTCTACGATTCAAAGGAGCCCTTAAATAGCAGGATTGAGAAAATGTAGAAATAGGAAAAAACGCAGGATTTTAATATAGGAATGTAAGTGTAAAACAGAGGATTATAAAATGCAGGAAAAACAGAGGAATTACCGTTTGATTGAACCACAAGGAAAAACATAGGAATTGAATGAAAGAGATATACTCAAAAGAAAGTTACCAAGAGGTTTCCACCAAAATCTTTATAGGATTGTCCATTCCATAGGAATTTCAAAGGATTGGATATGATTTAATCATTTATTTTAAAGGGTTTGATAGGAAATTTTTCTATAGAATTAAAATCCTTCGAAATTCATATATTTTTCTGCAAATCAAAATTTAAGTTTTTTTTTTGCCAAGGTAAGAAGCTCCGCTCCTCCAACGTACCCAGTCCCAACCCCAGCCGGCCGCCGTCGCCGCTACCGTCGTGCCCACCTCCTTCTCCGACCGCTGCAGCCGTGGCAGTAGCGACCAGAGCTCTCTCTCTCTCCGCACGGATCGGCTGCGGCTACAACTCGCACTGCTGAGTACTGGTAGTCTAGGGCCGAAATTTCCGAAATTTTAGAAAATTCGGTCATTTCGGTCCCCTCCGAAACGATATTAATTCGGCCGAAATTTTTGAATCTTTTTAAGAATTTAGGTAATATTTGTTTAAATTCAACTAAATTTTATTCAAAATTTTGGAAATTTCGGATCGAAATTTCTGAAATTTCGGGATTTCGGTGACCCCTGATCAAAAGCCCTAAACCTATACAGTGAACCCTCCTGGTACGTATCGGATACCTGATTATTTAGACCGGCGTAATCAAAATCGAAAGAAGAGCTTCGGTTCTTGGTGGTGGAGGATGGCTTCGTCGTCGTTGCTCCTCCGATCCGCCGCCCGCGAGCTCCGGCGGCGGCGGTCGATATTCCGTCCACCGCGCTTGGCCGCCCCTCCGGTGGAGCCCGGCTCGCGTCTCCTCACCACCGATGGCGCCGCGAAGAACACCACACCGCCCTCCTCCTCCACTCCCAATGCGACCCAGTTCCAGTTGCTTCGTCTGGAGGATGCCTTGGCCTTGCGCTCCGAGTACGCTCACTGTGTTGAAACCATCAAGATTAATTATAATCTTCGTTTCCTCTGGGGATATTTTTTTCTTTCTTTTATGTACATACATATACATGCATACATATTTCTGTCTTGCAAGATGCAACGCCAATATGAGGGGAAAAGGAGCACAAAATTAATGAATCTGTGGCAAAAACAAAAAAAAAGAAAAAGAAAAGATGACTATACAATGCTTAGATGCAATGGTTGGGGAAAAACAAGTGACTTTAGATGTAATTGGCTAATGACAAGTAACCTTCTTAAGTGGTACCTCAAATTATCTCGCTTGTGTCGAATATCTTCCTTGCGTCCGATGATTCAGAATCTGCAAATAGATTATTATTATTAGTGAAAGTTATTAGTTTGATATTGGAAGGGATATGTTAGAATTTATGTTAGTATATGCCAAATTCCTATGAAGAAACATATTGAATTCATGACCTATAATTTGAGTTCACCTGTATTCTTTATTGGAAGGGTATATATTAATCATGGCAAATTCCTGCTGAGATATTCTGAGTTGATGACCTGTAAGTGTAACTTGAGTTAATTAATGACCTCTAATTTGAGCTAACCCATATATTCTTTTGATGGAAAGTAAAACGTTGTGATGATCGGTATAACACCATGATTCTGATGCAAACCCATGTTTTATTTATTCCATTCGCCCAGAAACTACAGGTCTGCAGGGATGAAGTAATAGCATACAAAAGGTATTTGCTCAAGAAGAAGAAGGAAAGTGACCTGGACTACTTGTTGACTTTGGACCAGTTCAGTGATACCATGGAAGAATGGTCCTCTATTCTTCGACAAACCAAAGAGGTATTTGAGGCTAAAAATAAAGAGTCTGCCGAAATGTAAGCTTGAACTTTATTTATCTGGTTATATTATATATGAGCACATGCTCTTCCTTTTTTAAAAAAATTATGTGTTTCTTTTGACGTGCGCAGGTATCGTCTTGTTCGACAACGGGCACTGTTAATTTCGTACTCCGCTGTTTTTGCCGTCGCTCTTTATAATCTGTATTTGTTTAGTTAAGGTGAAAATTGTCAGCTGCAAAGCTCACAGTGTGCTGTGAACCATGCATAATTGTGGTCAATGGTGATCAGTCCGTGTATTGGGCATTGGTCCTCAACTTAGTTGCTGGAAATTTTCTTTCGCTAGCATTGGAGTTCATTTGATCGTCCACGATAAAAGACTTATCAAAGTTGGAATTATATGTTCAGCCTAAGAAACAGATTTGATAAGCACCTCCAAAGAATATAGAATTGGGGGTGACAGATTTGATAAGCACCCGCTGCACCTCCAAAGAATATAGAATTGGGGTTGACGCCCCAGAAGAAAAGAGAAAAGACTAGGGTTTAATCCACCAAAATAACAATTGACGGATGAAAAGTGTTCTTTTTTTCCAACAGTCTAACTACACAACTCTTCCCCTTCTGGCTATACCTCTCAAAAGTCTCCAAAGTCGAGAGTAGTTGAAAAGAAGAATTGTTCATTCATTTCACTCGCAGTCTAAATGTTCTAAACTGCTCTGCTGCACCGCGGACTCACCAGTATGTTTTACCTCAATGCTGGACGGATGCAGTGGTTCAAAATGGACAAAATGCGTTTCCATGCCCAGCGAGTGAAGCAGCTCGTCCTCGCGCAAAATCTTCGGAGTCTTGGACTTCTCCATCAGAAGAACGCCCTCAGCTACTCCTTCAGTCCTGCAGCCTTGTGGCATGTCGCCACCAAAATTCAGGTTCTGCTTCTGCGGATCATTTTCAGTTTCATCCATGCAGAAGCTCACAATGAACTTCTCCGTGGCGTTTATTTTCAAGTTCTGGGATGTCGGAATAGAGACGGTCTCGTTGTTAGCTGGGTAACAGCATTGCATCCCCAACTCGGATTCGATCCGCTCCTTCAAGAAAGCCATCTGAGGTTTTTCGCCATGAACTAGAATTACATGACTGGGAGAAAGAAATTCAGTAAGATCCATGATCCCCTTTGAGTCTGTATGAGGACTGAATGACAGTTGATGGATCTGTTGCACAAAGAGGGAAACTTAGTATAGTAAAGAAATACAAAGGTTAGTAATAGGAACTTGAACAGGTAGGCAAGATAATCAAAGGGGCAAAATGAAAATTTTAAGATGTTAAAGGATCTAAAGTTGCTAATATTATGTTTTTCACTCTAGAGCTAAATATTCTAAAACTTGAATATAGTAAAATTCAGAAATTTGAGAAGTCGTATTGCACGATAAACAGAGGTGAAAGAACTGACTTTAAGCAAGATCTAAACAATAGTGGACATTTAATAAAGCACTAAGGTAGCTTTAGTTATGATATAAGGTGTATAAACAAAGGTCAGGATAATATTCAAGGCACCATATAATTTCTATGGTAAGCACTAAGCAGAACACTAGAACGTATAGCCACCGACAGTAATCAGTAAGTGTGCAACTTCTTGCAACCAGTTGTTTGTTGCGTCCTTGATCCATGAAAACAACATTTTACACAAAAGTAAAAATTAAGTGGAGCAACCTGACATCTGACATCAATATGGGTGTCCTTGTCTATGTCAATCCTGGTAGGTTTTCCAGACATCAACTTATGGCCAATGGTTCCAGCAACACAATATCTACATTGAAAACAACAAAGTAAGGTCATATAAAAAACACAAAGATGACTGCATAAAAATTTTAAGAAAGCAGTCAAATTTTCCTTTTTCCTCCTGTTCATCTTTTAGTACAGGACGAGAAAAAATAATAATTTGATCACAAGTCACAATTGAAGCAGAAAAATGCATATATGAATGATAAAGAAGCATTCAACTCCAAGCAAACACCATCTTTTATGTCAAATTGTCCAAGGAATCCAGAAGGCTGATTAGGCTTCTCCAGTACCAACAGAAATATTTTATTCAGCAAGCAAACATATAATGTCTTACAACATTATAAAATATAGAAGAAAGAATAAATTACAAGAGTTAAGAGGAATACCCAGGAAGTGTAACCAGATTTTTTTCTGATGGAGCCCATTTCTTAAACACTTCAAGGGAAAATCCACCACTAATCATACCAGGTGTTGCAAAAAGCACACATGGACCAGGATTGTTAATGAAAGAACGCTCAAAGTGGCAAACTGCAACGTGAGGAAAAAAAATATTCAGTACTGTCTGTACATAACAGAAAGTCAGAAACATAAATGATGTGCATTAGAACTCTAATTTAAGAGATACTCCCTCCGTCCCAAAATATAACAATTTTTAGCCATCAGGATTTGTCCCAAAATATAACAACTTCTCCATCAACAATCTCTTCCCAACCAATCACAACCCTCCACCATTCACATTTCCCACCTACCTCTACTACTCATCCAATCACAACCCTCTACCATTCACTTTTACCTACTTTTTTAATAACCATGTCCAACTTTAAAACTTCTTATATTCTGGGACGGAGGGAGTACAATGTAGGAGCCAATGGCATATATCTTCAATATCAGTATTATCAACACTCATTAAAGAAGGTGCATCATGAATGCATGCCACATAGTTTCTTATATACAAATAAAAGGAAAACATACTGCAGGTTTATAAGTTTTCCCTAAACAGATACACTCTACGAAATTCGACATATGATTCAAATGAAATGTTTATTCAAGGACATACCATGCTTGAAGTCAAATGGGTTATGAACTGTGTAGCTGTTCTTGATCTTTTGGCTAGTCCATCCAATAAGCATTTTGTAGTACATGTTGGCTTGAATGGTTAAACCTATCAAACAAATACAACAATAAATAAAGTGGACAAATACATGAAAGCAAGTTAAAGTTGGACAAAGACACATACCAGCTGAGAAATAAATAGGAATCTTCAGGTTCATCCTTTCCCAATAGTCATCCAGTAGTATGCATAGCTCCTGACACACATTAGAGGAGAAAATTGGTAATATGCCACTCCACAAAGTAGGCTTTGATAAAATATCACTATGGAGATTGCGTTCAATAAAATGCCACTCTGTTCATAGCTACATCTATATTTTGCCCCTTTCGGAGTTTCAAGGCAATCTTAATTTGTTTTCCACATTACAGCAGTGTATCACTTCTGATTATGGAAGTTTCAAACAGCATACTCCAAAGGACATTTTTCCAAAAGGATCCTACTCTTAACCATTAAATTAAATGCATCATCACATATAATTAAGAGAGGAGTGGTGAGTACCTGTGCTCTTCCAAGAGCAAATGCTGGAATTAGAACTTTACCACCTCCAGAAACACACTTATGGACCTAGATAAAATACGCTCTCATTAAAGTGATGAATTTACTAAGTAGAAATTTGCAAGTAAAGATTATAAAGATTCAATGTGTCAACACAATCAACATGATTCAAGTATCAGAACTTGAAAAAGGGATAAACTCTTGGCTAATAACAAGTTGTACTTAGTATTTTGTGAGCATGAACTCCCTGGAGGTATTCATGCCATAGAAATGTACAAAACTACTTAAGTTTGCACAATGCTACAAGCCCAACCATCAGCATCGATAAATGTAACACATATCTTGCATCACCAAGGGGATTGCATAAGTGTTACAAAAGAAACCAAATAAAAAAAGCCCCAATAAAATTGGTAGTGTGAAGGTTCAGGTTTCATACTGCTTTTAAGAACTCCCTCTCTCGGGCATGCTTCGAGTCACGCACAGTTTTAGCATATGTTGATCTGCAGATAAAACTTCAGTTTAATACTTACACATTGAACATAAAACAGATACACCAAAGAACTGCACCTCAAATTCCGTATTGGTAAAACATTAAGACAACAGTACAGAACAAGGTAGACCATAATTCCATAAAAACCAAATATGGATTATATTAAAACGAAACATCACAAGAAAAATTTAGCAAAATACACCTACCTAATCATTAACTACAAAGGAGATTTCCAACTACATACAGGTCAAAGCAGAGGTTAACAACAGAAACCGGATACTGGTTTACTGGTACGTAGCTGTGTGGAAAACCTGATATCATAAAGATAGTTAATGGACACACAAGCACGCGCGCAAGCGCACACAAAAGATAAAAGAGCTATAAGAAACAAGACAGCAAAATTACTGCTAAAACATACCAAAGAACCTAATCCTGAGTGGCAATGATTCACTACAAGTCTACAACTACATCACTGGGTCAACATTTCAAAAGGAAAACATGATGCACAAGAGCATAACTATAATTTGAATTTGTAGCATACTCTGTTATCAACAGATCTAACTTCAGACGATCAATTTGCGCTGCTCCAAGGTGCCTATCTGGTGTCATATTGTAATCTCCAGTGTACACAATAGCAGCATCTCCAACTTTTGCATATATCATTGCAGCCCCTAGAACCTTGCATGTGGAAGAATGATGACTAATTAAGAAAGTACAGAACAACATTAATATTAATTTTCCAAGAATTTAAAAAATAACACTGCAGTTAATATGGGACAGAAAAGTATACAGCACATACATGTCCAGCATAATAGGCACGGATCGAAAGGTCCTTATCTACTTGAATGGTCTGCTTCAGGTCCAATGGTATAACTGAAATGTCCAATGAAATAACCAAATGAGAACTATCGTACATGCATACCTGTGTGCCAGCACAATATCTAAGTAGACTAGTAAAAGATATGTGAAAAGTGAACACAGAACATTTACCTTTCCTCATACAGCGTAGGATGTCTTCATAGCTATATTGCTCTTCCTCTCCTCTATGATCTACCATTACTTTCCGATAGTCTTCCAGCATCAATGGAGCTAAAGCCTTTGTCGGGTACTGCTTGAGGTACAACGATTTAAGTTATGAGATGAAGATCAATCACTCAGCAAGAGAAATCAAGCTTTCACATGCTACCGATGGACAATATCAGTTCACAGCACATCTCCTTTTGCGTATTATATACTTTGACAAGATCATCTCAATAAGATCAACAAGTTCACTGAACCCCTAGACCATCAAACATATTTACGCAGGACCATGACCACTATTAAGTACTGCAGTGACAGCCACAACTCACAAGCTCAATGGATATTAGTATTTGATAGCTAAGATGAATAAAAATCCAACCTATGACAAGTTAATTTGAAATTCAACCTCACTATAGCCCCTTTTTTTTTAATGAAACCCCATTCTACCTGGAACGGATACACCAAAGCTGCGCAATCATAATACTGAACAAATAAACATGAACTGGTTAGTGGTTACAACTCACCGTCATGTAAACTGGACCGTGGTAACCGCAGACCTCGGTGAAGTACGGCAGTGCTCCGATATGATCCAAATGGCTGCAACGCACAAACTTCACAAAGCTATTAACCGTGCAAGCAAACTGGATATGCTGCTACAGATCAAATTCGATTCAATTCAATTCGATTTTTGGCAGACGCACAAGTGGGTGATGACGACGCAGGAGATGGCGGCGGTGTAGTCGGCGGCGCCGTCGGCGAGGAGGCGGTCGAAGTCCGGGTAGCGGCGGCTGTCGCGGTGGCCCATGTGCATGCCGCAGTCGAACATGACGCGCTTCCCGCCGCCGAAGGTGACCACCACGCAGCTCTTCCCCACCTCCTGCCCCGCCCCTGCGCCATCGCCATCAATCCACGCGTGGTTCCCATCAATCAACCCGTGCGAGAAGAGGAACTCGAGGAGGACGAAGGGTACCTAGCACGAGGCACTCGATGGCCATGCCGCCGCCGCCGCCGCCGCCGCTTCTCCCCTCTCCCGGCGCCGCTCCACGCCGGAATCCCTCAACCACGCCTCCGTTGCCTCTCCGCCGCCTTCCTCGCCGCGCCGCCGAGGAGGGCGTGCGGCTGGTTGGGCTTGCCGGCTAGAAGAGTTGGGCTTTTGTGGGCCTCGGCCCAGTTCTCAGTAAGCCCATATCAGTGTGAGCCCATGGGCCCTGCTTGTCAGAGCCCAGTCAAACGCTTTATCTGCATATTAAGCCCATATCAATCTTGGCCCACCAAAAAGCCCAGCCGCTGCTTACTTTGGTCTCACTCTAGTCCCGTTCTTTTCTCCGACAAGAGTTGGATGAAGATTAACGGCATGTTCACTTTGAAGCCATTTTTAACCTTACCAAATTTTAGTAAAGTTACTAAAAAAGTGGCTACATTTAGTTTGTTGTCAAATTTTAGTAATTATATAAGAAATCCTACTAAAATTTTAGCAAGTTGTTGCCAAAATTTTGGTATTACTAAAATTTAGTAAGGTTTTTTTTGGCATAAAGTGAACAGGCCCTAAGATTTTCGTGGCACGCTTTCAAACTGATAAACGGCTCGTTTCGTGCGAAAAAACTTTATATATAAAAGTTGCTCTAAAATATCATATTAATTTATTTTTCAAATTTGTAATAATTAAAGCTCAATCGAATATACGTTAATACCACATCATTTTACATAAAAAAAAACTTAATATTCATTTTTATCTTCAGGGGATTCAATGATGAATATAAAGATGAATGTGAAAATTAAGTGTTTCACGTAAAACGAGATGATAATAACGTAAGATTAATTGAGTTTTAATTATTGCAAACTTGAAAAATGGATTAATCTGATATTTTAGAACAACTTTCATATAGAAAATTCTTGCACAAAACACATCGTTTAACGGTTTAAAAAGCGTGCCACGAATATCCAAAACTTAATCCACTTTTTTTAAGTGGAAACGAATGGAGCCTAGTCAACTCGCCCACGTGGACCAATTGTTCATCGAGAAAATCCCACCCTCTTCTTCCTCCTCCGAATTTTCCCAATTTTTTTTTGCTCTTTCCACGAGGCGACGACGGCGACGATGAGCGCGGCGGCGGAGGACGTGGTGCACAGCGGCGGGTGCCACTGCGGTCGAAGTCCGGGTAGCGGCGGTTGTCGTGGTGGCCCATGTGCATGCCGCAGTCGAACATGACGCGCTTCTCACCGCCGAAGGTGACCACCACACAGCTCTTCCCTACCTCCTACCCCGCCCCTGCGCCATCGCCATCGCCATCAATCCACGCATCATTCCCATCAATCAATCAAATCCGTGCGAGAAGCGGAGAGGGAGAGAGAGGAGTGGAGGACGACGAAGGGTACCTAGCACAAGGCACTCGATGTCCATGGCGCCGCCGCCGCTTCTACCCTCTCCCCCGGCGCTGCTCCACGCCAGAATCCCTCAACCACGCCTCAGTTGCCTCTCCGCCGCCTTCCTCGCCGCGCCGCCGCCACCGCCACCCGCACGAAGGCCGCTTGCTCTCTCCGCCGCCGACGAGGTCGCGAGCTGGTTGGGCTGCCTCATGGGCTTTTGTGGGCCGTAGGCCCAGTGCTCAGTAAGCCCATATCAGTGTGAGCCCATGGGCCAGTCAACTCGAGTCCATATATTAAGCCCATATCAATCTTGGCCCACAAAAAAGCCCAGCCACTGCTTGCCTTGGTCTCACTCTAGTCAACGCGCCCACGTGGACCAGTTGTTCATCGAGAAAATCCCACCCGCTTCTTTCTTCTCCGAATTTTCCCTTTTTTCTTTTCCTCTTTCCACGAGGCGACGACGGCGACGATGAGCGCGGCGGCGGCGGCGGACGTGGTGCACAGCGGCGGCTGCCACTGCGGGCGGGTGCGGTGGCGGGCGGAGGCGCCGGCGAGCGTGGTGGTGTGGATCTGCAACTGCTCCGACTGCGCCATGCGCGGGAACGCCCACTTCGTCGTCCCGGCCTCCAAGTTCACCCTCGCCGCCGGCGCCGGCGAGTCCCTCACCACCTACACCTTCGGCACCCACACGGCGAAGCACACGTTCTGCAGGGTCTGCGGCATCACCTCCTTCTACACCCCGCGGTCCAACCCCGACGGCGTCGCCGTCACCGCCGCCTGCGTCGACCCGGGCACCCTGGCGCACGTCGAGTACAGGCACGCCGACGGGAGGAACTGGGAGAAGTGGTTCTCCAGGAGCGACATCTCCGACTTCTCCAAGCCCAAGGCGCCGCCGCCGCCGCCGCCGAGTAAGACCTAGCTGCTCCGGTGGTGATGGTCGCTGGGTAAGTTCCTCTCCCCCCCTTTCTGTTGTATTGTGAGCTTCTTTAGTATCAAAAATTATGTGATAATAAATGAAACACCAATCGATATGGAGATATGTGCAATATGTGTTAATTAACTACATATCTGTGTTGCAATTGGTGATTTGGATGTTTAATTTGCTGCTTTCTCATGTTCAATTCGACTGTCTTAAAATGAAATTGAGACTAGAAGAAGGATATGAGGATATGCTTTCGTGTGGTGTATATCCAATGTGTACGAAATTCATGAGCAATCAACAAAAGCAGATGTGCGATTCCTGTTTATCCTGTGTGGGTGATAGCCGCGATATTAGTGAAATGCCATGGAAATCTCACCGAGAGCTCAACCACCACAAGAGACATAGAATTATTCATTTGAATAGGCTTTTATATATACTTGACATACAATTGGAAGAAATAGGATCATAGTAAGAGATTGAACAGGTGATCAACTGATCACTACTCTACAGCATAGAACTTCCGATGAATAGATGAATTCCGGAGATGCCGTACTACCTATAATCGATTCAAGGAGACATAGGAGACTGCCAAAGATGCTCGGTTGCCCTCTGCGCCGGAGGCTTTTCAGATGCAACGTTCCTTCAGGCTGCGGACCTTCTGTCAGCCATGGCTTCTCTGACGCACGGTCGCCATGGAACGGATTTGAGACCAACAGACGACGAGGAAGGCCATGACAAGGGAATGCTAGACCTTCTGTGAGTCTTGCCTCAGATGGTGATGCTGCAGGATGTAATGGATTAGCATTGCTAGGCCTTTTGTAGGCTCGCGCTGGGAAGGATCTACTTAGCATATTCTTCGAGCACAAACTCGTTGAAGCCTTTTTAGCCCCTTTATGGTTCTCTCCTTTATGCTTCACAACCAAATGGAGATCTAATGCAAGCTTTCCTGGTTTATCACTCTGTGGAACTTGTGGGTGATTGGGAGAAAGGAAGTGGTCTTCATTTCTTTAAACAAAAACAAGAGCACTTGCCTGTAAAGGGGATTTGTGCAGTTGGTCCCAGTCATGTGTCATCAGAAGACACTAATTATTCGTTAATTATTAAGCACATGCTCAGGCAATCAACTTCTTTCCAGTTACAAATTGGTAATATAATAGGTAGAAAAATGTTTGGCAATTTACTGCATTTTCTGTCATGATCACACAATCTTAGGATGAAACAGTTTCAGGAAGTGTAACAAAGCATTTCATTCCTTATATTAAAACAAACAAAGCTATAAACATCGCCGTAGCTCTTGCAACTGTTTGGTCCAGTTTAGACTTGGTCATTTTTTAACTCTATGGATATTCATTCACCGTATATCTAAAGTTCAGTTCGTTTTCAGTGCCATTTTTCTGCTACAGCCTTTTCTAGTTTCTTCCTTATTGGATGCACAGCCACCTAGAATTTAGCACATCCTTTAGTAACCACTCAAGATTGATGTGGTTCTCAAAAGACGGTGAGTCTCTCAACTTCACCGTTGGACTGCTAGAATTCGTTGAGAAGGCAAAGTGCCACTCAGGGGCTACATGCCTTTCCATCGTTCCTTTCTACAGTGCATTCTAAATTGCTTGAACACTGCAACAGTTGATGATCTGATCGATGCTTTGGAATTCTCATGCCCAATTTGGCAAAGCACCATCACTATGCACATCAGGTTTTTATTGCTGGACAGTGATGCATCAGCAACCTCCTCTAGAACCTGCCATGAGGAATGGCACCATTGATTTTGTTCATTTCTTTTTAGACAATGGAAAAAATCTTTGATTTGCTCATAGCTGACGATTTGGATGCACTGATGAAGCTTCTTTCTTTGTGTGTTTGTGTTGATCTAGTTACTAATACTGATGACCTGACAGTTTTGATCTTATGGTGTATTAAGATGCTATTGTGTTCCAGATGCAACACGCGTTGGTGATCTTTCTTTCGGTGTCTGAAGTGGCTGGGCACATGGAATGAACAATTCCTGTGGGAGCAAGGGCGCATTATAAAAGTGCCAGGTCACGTCCCTAGCTTTTGAAGGATCTTCAGGAAGCCATGGATACCGAGCTCCACTTTCGGTTGTGGCAGTGACTCACTGGATCGAGCAACTTTTAAACTTGGTGTTTGTGGTTGTGGAAGCCGTTGTCCAAATGCTAAATTGCCAAGTTGGAAGCCATATGCTTAAAATGATTGCCCATGGTTAAAACTATTTTCATTGTGGAAAGTGGAAATAACCCTGACAGCTGCTGCCGACTGAATTGCGGCTCCATCGTGAATACGCTAAACAGCATGTTTGCAAATAAAAAATAATTTGTGAATAATTTTTTCCTTTTGAAACCTGAGGCGGAACTTAGTTCCACTTTTATATTTAGAAGAAGAGAATTGACCCAGTTTATAAGGAAAACCGGGTCCGAAAACCATACAACTGCACGGTTAATTACAAACCCACCACTACACAACTAACAACGACGGCGGAGCCCAATCGTAGGACGTCGCTACCAAGCTAAACACAAAAGCGACACAACAGCTTTCACATTACAGAAGAGGTGTTATCGTTGCCGAGCTAGCCGCCCCAGCTACCTAGCAGCGCCAACTTCACAACCACAACGACACTGAAGACGAAAGTCGCCAAAGCGAAAAGGGGCTCCAACATCTAGCAATAGACATCAACCAAGCCACCGAGGAGCCACTTCCTTCACACGGCCTGCACCAGAACTTCTTAGAAGAGACTGCAACATGTCATCGTTGCCAAGCGTCGCCGCACCCCCATCAGCGAGCAGCTTCGACTTCATCAGCAGAAACAACCGAAGAGCATGTCGCCCACCATAAGAAAGAAGCGGACCCAAGAAGGCGAAGCCTCGCCGAACACAAGATATGAAAGCTTTTGAACCGAAAAGGACCATCGGCGGTCATCGATGCATTGGAACTTCTCCGAAGCGACGCCCCCAAGGAGGACACGACGCGTGACGCCGCCGCCGCTCGTCCGAAAATCGGAACAAGGTTTTCACCTGGAGATTTGTGGGGATATGAAAGAGCGCCATGACAATGCCTCCAAGGAGGGAAACGACACCCACGGACGCCGTCGTTGTCGAACCGGCCAAAAGCACGGCAAGGATTTCGCCAGCATCTTCACATCACCCACACAAGCACCCCCACATCGATGGCCGCAAAATAGTCCATAACGCCTCACAAGCAATCATACCTTGATTGTAACCAACGGCAAAGACGGACCCTTTGCCACCCTCGAAACGCCATCCATCCGCCGTAAACTTCTACAGTAAGCCGAAGCCTCCACCCTCCCCCTAGCATTCCCCACGACAAGAAAAGGGTCCGGCCAAAGAAGGGGGAAACCGAAGGGAGGGAGAACACTCGGCCGACAATGAAGAAGTCACCGTCACGGACGTCAAGCCCCATTCCTGCTTCACGCCAGCACAAGTCGTCATCCCACCAACTCCACATCCACACATCGCCGCCCATCAACGACGACGAGATCCACCAATGGCAGTAGAAGCCCCATGCCGAGCAGGAGCTGGCCGCCAGCGAGCCGCCGCCGCGCTTGCTGGAGTCCACACGCAGCCGCCCCACCGACCAGCTGCCATCCGGTGTGGAGGCGACGGATCTGGCCGCGGACGGCTAGATCCAGCCAGGTACGGGGTTGATGACTAGCTAGGGCGCGCCGCCGCAGCATTACTGAAGCCAACACGCTTGACAGAGGCCGACGGTGGCGCCGCGACCACGACGGGAGCGAGCCGCCGCTGCCGACGCCCGCCCACCGCGACGCCGCCCCTGCCTGCCGGTCTCCGCGCCGCCCTGGCGCCAACCACGCCCCCAGCCTAGATCTGGAGAGGCGACGCGAGGGAGAGTCGTTGCCGCTGCTCCACCTTTCCCGCCGCCTGCCATCTCCCTTCCCACCCGGTCGCCTCCGCGCGCCTAGCCCGACGCCCCGACGCTGACGCCCCCGACGTCGACGCCGATGCTGCCGCACCGTCGCCACCCCCAACTGGTCGGGGTTGTGGGCACCGACCTGCGCCCTCGAGGGAGAAGGAAGGCCCTGCCGCCGCCTTCCTCGCAGCCGCGCGGTTTCCGGTGGTCTACTCGGGCGGTGGCGAGGCGGAGGAGGGAGGAAGGCGGTGGTGGTCGCCACCCATGTCGCCCCCTGTCCCTAGAGCGACACGGGGGCCCAGTCAACCGCTCTACCTATTTTGCGTTCGAATAAATTTTTTTTATATGTGTTCTTAGTAATCAAAAGTAAAGGCTGAAAAATAAACTACAATAAAAAAACCCTAAAATCAACTTTAAATTTAAGGTTTAAAATTTAAATTTTGGCTTACAAGATAAGTAAAAAGAAGTAGTCGGTAGGCTGGAAGGGAAGGGACAAGAGAAGCAGCTGACTCATGTGTTGGTTGAAAAGGGTACAAACAACTATGGAATAAATGCTTTGCTTTGCGGCGTTAGGTAGGGTAGAACAGGATGTGATCATTTTGGCTCTTGGAGCAAGCGAAGCATTGCTCACGTTGCAAGAAACGAACATTCTCGTTTTATTTTTAAACAGTTTTGATTACTTTGCTTAAGCCTACCGTGATCTGATTCTTGGTGGCAGTGATCGTCTTCGGCGTTCTGAAGCAAAGCTAGGAGTGACCAAAAAAGATGCAAAGCTGGCTGTAAGTGGATTCATCTGCGAGACTACGAATTTCGTTGCTTACAAATGAAATTTGCGAAATTTCTGTGAGTTTTATTCATAATTCGACAGGACCGAGCTGTTTAGGGAATATCAAAATTTAGGCGAAGGAATACGAACGAAATCGTGAACTTACTCCTCAAACAAGCATTCGTAACTACTACTACTACCCCGTTCGGTAGTGACAAAGATGAATATTAAAACGAAAAAACAATTAAGGCATGCTGATTAATTGGGTTTCATTTATTTGGAACTTGAAAAATTGATTTATCTCAGATTTTAAAACAATCTCTATATAATAGTTTTAGTAAGAAATATACCATTTAGTAATTTGAAAAAAGTGTTAGACAGCAAATTGAGATAATCATGTTGTGTTTGTTCCCTCTTGTTTGAGAGAGATTTCCAGCGAAGGAAGCTCATTAGCACATATTCCGTCCGTCTCATAAAAAACTAACTTTCGCCTATGTTCAAATTGATGGATAGAAGTTGGTTTTTTTATGGAAGGAGTAATTAATTAAATATTATAGATTTAAATAATAAATTTATTTAATTTTAAAAACCTGTTAATGGAAAATAAGAAATTAAAAGTTTAGAGTTACTACCTCTACCTAAAATAAGTTAATTCTTCACCCATTTCACACGTACCAATAAAAAACCACAAAGATTAATTCTTCACCCATTTCACACATACCAATAAAAAACCCACAAAGATTATAATATCTCTACTTTATCAAATCGCAATGCGATTATTTCTGACTTCATCTACTCTGAATACAGTTATCTATTTTCACAAACTCTATTGTAATGATTACTCTAAATTAAAATAAATTTCTTTTGAGACAAATGAAATGAAGCTTAAAAATAAACTTATTATAGGACATATAGAAATGACGTCTCCTATGATAAAATAGTATTTCCTATTACGATGCATGTCAAATTCATTATAAAAACATTATATTTTATTTTATGTGGGTTTTTCGTTTTGTATTTATCATAGTTGGTTTTTGAATAGTGAGAGAAAGGAAAAGGGCAATGCGTCACCGACACCGCCGAATCCAATTCCAGCCCGTCGTCTCCGGGCGAACCGGATTTCTCGCCTCACACACACTCTCCCCCTCTCTTCCCTCGCCGCCGGCAGCGGCGGCGGCGGCCGAGAAGAGCGGCTACCGGCGCTGCTACGCGCGGCGCCTGCCCCCGTTTCGTCTTGCTGGGTTTGCCGGTTCGTTTTCTCTTCCCCCACCACCATTCCTCTTCTGTTCCACGTGCGGAGCGCAGGCAGGGCCCCGTGCTGGTTTCGCGTGTCCCGCCCGCGGAGCGGCGGGCGATCCGCTGGTGGATCTATCGGGAGCGTTGCGGTCGAGCTAGCTAGATCGGCTTGTGTTCCCCCGCGTCGGCGCTCGGCGGCGCCGGTGGACGCAATGCCCGGGGTCTGGATTTTGGGGGTTGTTGGATCAAAACTGAAGCGATTCGTACACGCCATCTCGATTTTGCGCCCCGCGTTTTGGAGATTTAGTTTCTCGCTTAGCAGAGAATACCAATGGTGGATAGACTTGGTCGCTATTTTTTTTAATACTCATTGTTCAATTAGCAAAAAGAGGCTTAGTCTTGGGTACACCACTGGCTCCCTCATTGGCTGTATGATTGGTCGCAAATGCCGGAGAAAGATTGATCTGAACTGCTTATCTTTTGATCATGTTACTGTAGATCAGTTTGGGCTGTTTCCACGTTTTGAATTATATAGCATTTATGCCCTGATGAATATCATTTATATCTTGTAGTTGGTCTAAATGGGGGAAGAACAATTTCATTCTTAGCTTGCGGTTTACTGCTTAACTCTTGGTGTTTTCTATTTCCATGCATCGTGCGTTTGCCAATCTTGTATGAACTGTTTTCAGGCATGGACCTTATTTATTGGTTCATCTGCATTTGCAGGTGTGATGTTGGTGCTATCGATTTAGAGCGGTATCTGAGTTCCTTTGGAGGAGACCACTGAAGTCCTATGCTACCTTGCCGAGATTTTGTACATAAGACCTTTGTAGGATGAAAGGTGGTTGTCTACAGAGACCTCTTGTCAGTAAACTATGCCTCGGCTTCGCGGCTCTCCTCACTGCCCTGATTGTTATCATGTCACTGGAAGAAGCTCCAGTCCTCACAATCTTCAGCTCAACGCCAGAAAAATTGAAAGTTTTATCTCAAGGTGCGCCACCCTTCCCTTAGTTTTTTCCCCCCTTGAAATGTAGATGTTACCCTATGCTATGTTTGCTCACATGTTTGTTGTATGGCCCTTCTGACATCAGGTTTCCTACAGCAGCAGGAGCAGGAACATCTTGAAGATAGTACAGCCAGACAGAACGAAAGTAATTTTAATTGCTTGTGTGATCTTCTAATGAGTTTAACACTGCATTTGTCATTTTTGCACTACTGACTTATATGCTTATTTTTATCTCATTTACTGGAAGCAATTCCTAATGACAGTGATTTTTTTTCTAAAAATGGCATTTATCAACTTTTGTTTTAACAACTGAAGATTATCTTCCATTTTGATAAAATCTTCTTCTTACCTTATAGATTGCAATTATGCAAAGGGAAAATGGGTGGCAGACAAGAAGCGGCCACTCTATTCTGGCAATGAGTGCAAACAGTGGCTATCGAAAATGTGGGCTTGTCGAATGATGCAACGCGCAGATTTCTCTTACGAGAATTTTCGGTGGCAGCCGCATGGATGTCAGATGCCTGAGTTTACGGGGCCTAACATTTTGAAAAGGTATTTTACTTCAATTTTCCTTTTCGTCTGGATCTCCTTAAGGACTGGACTTATTTTAGCATTTTCCGAGGCTTGCAGGTTGAGGCATAAAACTCTTGCTTTTGTTGGTGATTCTCTTGGTAGACAGCAATTTCAGTCCATGATGTGTATAGCTACAGGTGGTAAATACAGCCCAGAAGTTGAAGATGTTGGATGGAAATATGGCCTAGTTAAAGCTCCAGGTGCTTTAAGACCTGACGGATGGGCTTACTGGTTTCCAGGGACTAATTCCACAATCCTTTTCTACTGGTCTGCTAGTCTATCTGAACTGGAACTTCTGAATACAACAGATTCAGTGACATCCTATGCATTGCATCTTGATCGTCCAGTTACATTTTTGAAGAAGTATCTCCACAGTTTTGATGTGTTAGTACTTAACACAGGTCATCACTGGAACAGAGGGAAGTTCAATGGAAATCACTGGGAACTGTACGCTGATGGGAAACCTGTAGGCAAAGGTAGACTTGCAGATCTGAACCGTGCAAAAAATCTTACATTGTACAGCATTGCCAGATGGGTGGATTCAGAACTTGTGCGATATCCTCAAGTGAAAGCTTTCCTGAGGACAATATCACCCAGGCATTTTGTAAATGGTGACTGGAATACTGGGGGAAGCTGTGGCAATACCGTTCCCTTGTCTAACGGAAGTGAGGTATTGCAGGATCATTCAAGCGACTTACCTGTGGAGAGTGCTGTGAATGGAACTCGGGTTAAGATTTTGGATATAACTGCTGTTTCACAGCTACGAGATGAGGGGCATATATCCAATTCTACTTTCAAAGGTAGAGCTTCAACAGGGATTAACGATTGCTTGCACTGGTGCCTTCCTGGTATACCAGATATGTGGAATGAGCTCCTCTTTGCACAGATTTAGTGCTGCACTTCAGTGAGGGGATTTTTTTTTTTACACAATCCGAAGAGTTCCTTTGGTGTTCTGCACAGATAGCACAGATATGTGGAATGAGCTCCTCTATACAGAAGCTGTTTTAGCGTAGCATTTAATTATGGAACTTCTGGCCACCCATATGGAAGCAGTCGACAATTTCAAGATGATAGTATGCACCCATAAGACTAGAGATGATGCTAGTGTAAAGTTCGGTTCAGATTATTTAGCCTTTTCTCAAGTCAAGATATGGAACTAGATGCTGCTACAGAGCCTTATAGAGTAGTCCCCCAGGTACATCGATTTTTTGTTTTCTTTTTTTTTTTGAGTAAAATGCTACCACAGTCCACAGTTTACCATGTGCAACATATATTTTTTAGATACACACATGCAAGTTGACCAAAGTGCTGTATGCTCTTATACTTTTAAGGTAGAATTCTTGTTTTATGCCTGTAACAACAATCTCATTTCAGATGTTGTAACATTTGAAAAGTTTCATGTAATCATTGTAGAGTTTATACATAGTCCAGAAGAAATATAAACATGGCATCTGTCCATTGTGCGAAAATCTGTGGATTATATATACTTTCTCCTATTGAAGTGAAATCTGCCTGTGCTGCTAAACAAATAAATGAAATACAGACACAAGTCCTATGGTTTTTACCAAACTTATGGGTTTATGAGGGGATAATAGGTTGTCAAGGATTGGACAATGCCAGCATGAAAAAATAAAGATAATATACTCTAAAGTTCAACAGTTTGCCATCAACTTTTGTGTATCTGAGCAAGCCCTTTGCATAGCCATTTGCCAAATTACTGGTGAGCCTTTTGCGAATTACTGTCACCAGAAGACTCCTCATGGATGGCAAGGGCCAAACTGCCTTTGCTTCCATTTGGCTGAAGCTTCAACAGGAGAGTATACAAATTGATGACATTATATCTCTTCGACAAATGACAGATGGACAGCTACCCTATTCCTCAAAGAAGGATGAAAAAAAAAATCCTTTCACCGAACAATCCCTTACCCCAGCAAATGAACAAGATCATTATATCAGGTTCGACCTATCCATTTCAAAAAGATAAGAAAAGGAGAGAAACAAAAATAGGATCAGGTAGACCTAACCTAATCCTTTCACAAGCCAGTCCTTATCTTACCCTACACAAAGCTTGGGGTAGCCACTAGTGTAGTCGACGCTGCATGCCTTACACATGCGTTTAAAACTGAAATATCAAACGGAGCCCTAATTAAGCTAGAAAATGACGCAACTAATGGTTGTTGAGAAGCCATGAAATAGGAAGTAAAACTGCATCCTCCTCCAAGAAAAAAAAGGGATATGGATGGAACACATTCCAATCTTATGAATCTAGATAAAGGATTATCTATATTAGATTCGTAGAATTACGCTGTATCCTATCCAATATTAGATTGATATATTGTTGAATTAAGGGAGTATCATCGCCAAGGTTCAGAAAACTAAATGCTACTACAAAATGAGGAATGACCAGCATTAGTGTCAAAAATCAAAATCCATCATCATATCACGTTGGCCAACTAAACACAAACAGAACGGAGAGATCAGAAGATGATTAGCCCAGCCGGAGCAGACGAAGAAATGTTTTTTTTGCTCAATTCAGCCAGGAACACATTAATCTCTTTACAGCCGGTTACTACAATTCAACATAGACAGCATTATAGCCTTATCTCATCACCAGCATGATCATAGCCTCTTTGTTTTTTAACCCCCAAACGGCATAACACCAAGAAAAACACAAGCCTCCACTATTGCCATCCATCATTGGCAGCAAGAACTACTGCTGCTACCACACAAGCTGGAACGGAAGAGACCTAATCCAATCCAAAGCCCCACAGCAATGTGCAGCAGCAGTACATGGGCACAGTACAGCACGAGCCCGAAAGAAAAGAAAGAAAGAAGATGAAATAATTAGCGCCTCCACCAAAGGGTAGTACGCACCAACCATTTGACACCTGCACCATGCCAGCAAAAGGAGTGGCTCCGGCTCCAGTGGTTGCGGATTCATCCCGGCCAAACTTTGGAGCCTGATCTGACTGTGATGGTGAGATGGATCTGAGTTTTTGATAGAAGAACATGGGGGGGGGGGGGGTTAATTTCTCGGCCGAGTTTCTGTACACACCGGTGAAAGGTTTGGTATTTTGATGCGAAAACACGCAGGGATGAAGATGGTGGATGATGTGTTTTGATTGCATTTTTGTTGCATCCCTTCGAGTATGTACACCTGGGGGGAGCAGCGATCGATGATCCCTTCTTCCAAGATGGCATGCCTTATTGGGGGTGGAGCTGGGGCAGGTGTGTTTTCACCTCAGGGCGGTGTCTGCGGCGTCGACAGGTGTGGGCATTGTGCTGTGCATCTCGTCAGAGACATTGGCGAGGCCCTGGATCAGCCTCACAATGTCGGCCAGGTCATCCAGGTAGTACTTGGCCTTGCTGGGCTTGCGACCAACGGTGCAGGCGAAGACCTCGGCGTCTGGGCTTAGGCAGTTGTCCTGTGCTGCAGTGGTGATCACCTCGAACATGTCTTCATCGGAGCGGTCATCACCGATGCAGAGGACAAAGTCCGGAAGGAGGCTGTTCTCCCGTATTATCGACAAAAGCCGTTTTGCCACAAGGCCCTTGCTTACACCCTGTAGAACAGTTCAAGGTTTAAAACTTAGGTACCAGAAATGGGTCATGTTAACACTAGTGAGGTAACAGCACAGCTTTGCTGTGAGCCAGCTTACCTGTGGCTTCACCTCGACATGGTTCAGGCCAGCTTTTACTGTAACTGGCTCATTTGCAAGGACACTCTCCAGATGGTCATGGAGCTCCTTGGCTTGGCAAGATCCAAAATCAGGATCAGCATCCTCGTAGCTCCACACTATCGCGGTCTCCTTGTCCTCAATTGTTGACCCATCTGTTGTCTCGGTGTATGTTTTCATCACAGGCTCTGCGATTTGCTTCCAGCTTCTGTCTGTCACTGGGACACACGTCTCCCATTCTGCATCTCTCTTCAGCCTACAGCAGTTACAAGTGTAAATTAGTGTTCAGTTGGAATTCAATGAGAAGTACAAAATCATACTGATTTTAGTCCAATAATAAAGTTGATGTCATTGGCTCATTGATTATGAATTTACGTAAAATAGAGAAAATAATTACCTGAGAAAGTATCCATGCTCAGCAGCTAAGCCTAGGTTGTCGCATGATGAGAACCATTCTTCTAGAGTCGACCGCTTCTTTGTGCTCACAAGGAAGACCATGTTGTTCTGATCACGGGACAGGCTGTTCAGCATATCTATCGTTTTAGAGCTTGGGCTCTTACCAAATGATGTTTGAGGCATCAGCGTCCCGTCATAGTCCAAAAGAATGATTCGCGTGGTCGTCCTCCGGTAGGCTGAGACAAGGTGCTCAACTGCAAGCTTCTTGAAGTTTGGATCAAGGGCTACAACCCTAAACCTTAGCCCGAATCCTATCCCCCAACAACGCCTCCTGCTATGGTCCAGACAAGTCCTCTCCAGATCTTGCAAGAAGCTGTTTGCCCAGTATCCAACATCATGTGTGCTCACATATTTGTGGTGCTTCTCATGTCTCAGCACCTTCTCCCCTTCAGGCATCTCTAAAGCAGAGTCCATTGCATCAGCCACAGCATCGATGTTCCAAGGGTTTACCCGAATCGCACCACTTAGGGAAGGTGAACAGCCGATGAACTCTGACACAACAAGCATGCTCTTCTTCCGTGCCGATGGGCCAAGACCTAAGATCCCGTCTAGTTTTTCATTGCCCTGCCTAGCAATTACATACTCATACGGGATAAGATTCATGCCATCTCTCACTGCGGTCACCAGGCAGCACTCAGCGACAACATAGTAAGCCATTCTCTCATAGAACTGAAGTGGCCGATCGATCAATATAACCGGCTGGTAACCTGGCTGCCCAAATGCCTCATTGATACGCCTCACCATTGCATAGCTCTCATCCTGCACCTCTTTCACATCTTTCCCCCGTCCCCTCGCTGGATTGGCAATCTGTACTAGAACCACCCTTCCTCGCCATTCGGGATGTTGCATCAGGAGCTGCTCAAATGCCAAAAGCTTCAAGCTAATTCCTTTAAAGATGTCCATATCATCTACGCCAAGCAACATCAGCCGGTTCTGATCGCAGAATTGCTTGAGAAGCTCGGCCACCTTGACCCCCGTCTCCGGAAGATTGAGCACCGACCGCAGCTGCTCCAAATGAACTCCCACCGGCAATATCTTGATGGTAACCGTCCGACCATAATACTCCAGCGCAATGTAGCCCCTCTGCGACTCATACTTCAACCCGAGCATCCTTCCACAGCAGGACAGGAAATGCCTGGCATAATCGAAGGTGTGGAACCCGATCAAATCGGCGTTCAGGAGCGACCGGAGCAGCTCCTCGCGGACGGGCAGGGTCTTGTAGATCTCCGACGACGGGAACGGGCTGTGGAGGAAGAAGCCGAGCTTGACGCGGTTGAACCGCTTCCGCAGGAACGTCGGCAAGATCATGAGATGGTAGTCGTGCACCCAGACGTAGTCCTCGTCGGGGCTGATCACCTCCAGTATCTTGTCGGCGAAGATCTTGTTGACGGACACGTACGCCTGCCACAGCGCGCGGTCGAAGCGGCCGCCGAGCTCCGGCGACAGCGGGAGCATGTAATGGAACAGTGGCCACAGCTGCTGCTTGCAGAATCCGTGGTAGAACCGCGACCGGAGGTCGGCGGGGAGGAAGGTGGGCACGCAGCGGAAGCCCTCGAGGAGGTGGTGCGCCACCTCGTCGTGCTCCGCCGCGGGCACGTCGTCGCGGAGGCCGCCGACGTAGACGAACTCCATGTCGTCGGCGCGGTCGGCGTGGGCGCGGAGGCTGTCCCTGAGCTGCAGGAGGAGGCTGTCCTCGTCCCAGGAGAACTCCCACCCGCCGCCGCCGCCGCCGCGGCGAGACGCGCGGATGGGCAGCTGGTTGGCGACGATGATGGCGCGCTCGCGCGGCGCGTGGGAGTGGGCGGAGGAGTGGTCGGACGACGACGCCGCCGACGCCGCGTCGTCGTCGGAGTAGTCCAGGTCCGGGACAATGCCCGACGCCGTCACCACCCGCGGAATCCGTCGCCGCCCCAGCGACGGCAGCGGCCCTTCGCCGCCGCCTCCTCCTCCTCCGCCGGCGGCGAGCTCCAGCAAGTTGGAGTAGGATCTCGAAACCATCTCCTCTAGATCCTCCTCAAAGTACTCGATCTCACTCACCAAGAACTCACTCCAAGAAGTACTCAAATCGCACGGAGGAATGGGCGGCGAGGGAGGCAAAGGATCCAATCCAAGAGAGAGAAAAGGAAAAGAGAAAAATCTCAAACCAAGATTTGGCGCGGCAAGGAATCGAATCACACAAAGGAACAAACTAATCCTAATAATAATCAAGAACCAGAAATAAGAACAAACCCCCTCACTTTCCGAAAAGGACGAGCACCTTTCAGTCAAACAAACACACAAAAATCAACAAGAACAAACATCTCTCAGGTCAGGGCGCGCCACTATCTCGACACGACAGATCGCCCGCGGCGCAGGAGAACGAACCCATTCCCTTCCTCGCGTCGCCACCATTCGCCGCGGCAGCGGCAGCAACAACAAAGAACCAAACCAAACCAGAGCAAACCTCCTCAAATTGCAAGAAAGAAGAAGAAGAAGAAGGAGGAGAAGAAAACAACTGGAGCTCCCAAAATCAAACCAAACCCTCTTATTCTGGACAGAAAAATTTCTCGGATTCTTGGGTCGCGCGTGGATTGGGGGTTGGAGGCGGCTCTTGAGGATCACAAAGAGCTGGGTTTCGGGAGGCGGATCTGCTGCTGCTATAAGTAAGAGAGAGGGAGAGAAGCTGCGCGATTTTTTTCTCCTCTTCTTCTTGTTCGAGCTGGCTACTTGAGCTGAGCAGAGTGATAGAGAGAGAGAGCAAGCTCAAGACGCGGCCTCTGGCGCAACACCGATTAAAATAATCACATTTTGCGGAGAACACCCCGCGTTTATGTCCTAATACTTTTTTAGGACGAAGAAGGCGTTGATGATTAGTAGTAGTACAGTACTTATATAATTAAGCGTTGTTTGCTACTCCCAAACTGCCGATCCAATGTTAATATTTTCTTGCCGGCTTATAGTTGTCAAATTGCATTTCCTGCACTCTACAAATAAAACCACGTTTTTTTAAGATATTTAAGCGGCAGCCTTAGATCGTGGGTGTATTTTTTATATATAATGGAAATGATTTATATCTCATTATAAATAAAAAAACTCAAGGATATGGAAAAACCCCTATTTTTTTATTGATCATATGCAGCAAAAATACAACTCCCTCCGTTTCATATTATAAGACTTTCTAGCAGTGCCCATATTCATATGAGTGTTAATAAATCTAGTCATATATACTTAACACCTATATGAATACGTTCACTACTAGAAAGTCTTACATTATGAAACGGATGAAGTAAAAAGAAAACGCGTAGAATCTATAACAATATTTTATAGGAACTATGTTAGCCAAAGTGAAAAAATAGACCCCTGGCTACCGACTCCAAGAATGCAGCTCCACTGCGTATGGTATTATGCTCCTCTTGTAAAAGCATAAAGTATCAAGAATAGAGCTAACTAGTATTAAGAATAGAGCTAACTGAAAGACATAAAATTAAAACATAAATGAATTGAATGAGATTAAAAAACCGTTAACGTCTATGTCAAAAATTAATTAATGTCATGTTTTCATACTTTGGTAGAGTTGATACTTACAACACACCAATACATTGTAAGGAAATTATACGTAAGAAGAAAAAGAATACTAAATGAAAAGTAATACTTATGGAACGTAAATTCGAAGTGAACACTCAAAATGCCAAAGGCAAAATGGAGAAATAAAAGCCCAAGGAGATTACTCGTCCAATTGGAATGGACTTCTCCAGGTAACCGGGCTTCGTTGGTTACCGACAGCCTCATCTTATTTCTTTATGTTTATAAGCTAAAATTTAAAATTTTAACCTTATATATGTACAGTTAATTTTGGGGTTTTTTTTTCATTATACTTTATTTTTCAATCTTTACTTTTAGATCATTAAGAACACATATATAAAAGTTTTATTCACAAATTATTTTTTCATTTACAAATATGTCGTTTCGTTTTTTCCTCCAATATGCCAAACGATGAGGCTGCGAAACTATTATTTTCTGTTGGATGACATTGACCAAAGCCATCTAAACATGAGAGACAAAATCAAACACTATTGTGCTTTTTACATCAGAAGGAAGGGTTGCTACGAGTCAAATCCCCTCTAGGATCTCATGAAATAAATTTCATGCTTGGAAATTAATCAATCTAAAAGTAAAATTGTGGTAAGATGAGATCATGGATTTTGAACCTCACTTGTCCTCAAACATACAAGGAATCAACAGGGGCAGATTCAAGGAAAAGTTTTTTTTTTAAAAAAAGAAGGAAAAGTATAACTACGATATTATAAATACATGGCATTACCAATACATCCCTATATAAGAGTAATTTTAATTTATAGTGATTTAGGCGGTGTTCATTTCTCCTGAAGATGAAGATGAAGATTAAGTTTTTTACGTAAAATGAGGTGGTATTAACGTATGATTGGTGAGTTTTAATTATTACAAATTTGAAAAATAGATTAATATGGTATTTTAGAGCAACTTTCATATTGAAAATTTTTGCACGAAACGCACCGTTTAGCAGTTTGAAAAGTGTGCCATGAAAATCCAAATTTTCATCCTCCACTTTTACCCGTGAATTAGCAAAGAAAATCCAGCACCCAGCTGCTTCTTCATGAAGTCCCAGTGTACTTATGTACTAACCACGCCTGATATAATGACTATCAAAACATTGCTTTTCCGGTAGGAACTCCTTGACTTTCTTAATCCGGATTTAAACACCTTTCAGCTGCACTACTTTCCTCCCTCGATAGCAACATCGTTAAGCAAAAGAGAAAAAAAATCTCAAGATCTTATTATATACTCCTCCGATTTTATTATTTTTAGCGTTTTGAATAGGATTAAAGTTATTTTTTCTAACTTTGACTATCAACAACTTTAAAACTATTTAGTTTAAAGACTTTAAAACAATATACATAAATTTGTTTTTAAAAAAAACTACCATAAATAAAAAAATAATTTATTATATATATTATAATAAAAAAAACATAGATTGTCAAACATATATTCTTTCTTTCTTTCCAAAACGTAACAGGAGGGGGAGTATGTCCTGGACGATAATGACGTGCGTGAGTGCGTCACTCACACCAACGATGCCTCTCTCTTGATCTTATCTAAACACCAAATCACACGCAAAAAAAAACAAAATAAAATCTCTCTTACGGATAATCTCATCCGTTAGAACATAATTAGAGGAAACCTCAGGGGGTTAGCCGCAAAACATCCACTCACGGTCGCCGTACTCACAGACACTCCCCACGATCTTATCTGCGAAAGCGAAATGACCACGCTGGCCTCGCGCCTCTATCCACTTGCGCCGCGCGCGTGGAGCCGTACGATCGCGATCGGACGGCGGGGGGTTGCACCCGTCCGCGTCGGATTAGATCGGGGGGGAGGTGGGCGTGGTGGGCCCGGACGGAGCGCACGTGCGAAACGACACGTGTCGGACGCCGGGGGCCGCCTCGTCACGTGCGCCGGGGGCTGTGTGCCAGCTGGCGGTCCGGACACACGCGACCGGTGGGCCCCGAGTGACAGCCTTCACCTCGTCCAGATTGGGAATGGAGAGACGGGGGATTTTTTTTTTCCTTTTAGAAATTTGATTGTTTTTAGAGGAAGTATTAATTTTGATTGATTTCTGCAGGGCTAGTACAGTGTAAATTATACACTTCGTTCAGGGGAAAAAACTTTTGAAAACTCGTAAAAGTTTTTTTTTGTTCGCTGTGGCAGTTTTTGTTTCGGTTAGCTCGTGTGGAAACATTAGCGTAATTAAGCCGTTTGATTAGGCTAATTAATTAAGCTTCAAATGCAAGGGTTTTTTATGCCAGGAAAATTTGAGTTACAAGACATGTCCCCGTTATTTCATCTCGATAGCACGTTTTTCAAACGGATGAATTTCATGTATTTTTCAAAATATCTTATAAATCTTTTTTTAAGTTTATAATAATTAAAACTTATTTAATTATGATTTTCTCACTTCTACGTGTGCTTAATCTTGAACCGTACATGGGCTGATCATGAATTCATGATCACTACTTGATTACAGGCACAGCAACGTTAATTTTTGAAGATGTTCTTTGAGTATAAACGAGTTTTACTACCGAGTTTTATTACCGTGCTTGGTATATAAACTAAGAGCAGTACAATAGCAGACTATAAGCCAGCTATAAACCCATATTGAGAAGATAAAAGAGGAGAGAGAAGAGCAGCGGGCTACATATTTGTAGCCAGCTGTAGCACGGATTACAAGACACAATATGTATGAAAGGTGGGACCATATATTAATAATGTAGTATATGTTTATAGGTAATTATTGTATGAGTTAGCTTTAAGTTGACTCTAGGTAATTTGGAGCTAGTAGTTGGCTTCCGTGAAAAAAAATCAACTTTTGGTGTTGGTATAGTCTTTTTTTTTTGGTGTTTCTATGTGGCAATAATATGTAGGGGTGTTTAATAGGTGTACCACAATTACATCATATAGGCTGGTTATTCTACAATAAGTTTATACATAAGTCTTTTTGTCATCGAATGTTAGTGTTTCATTTGAGTTGGCGGATGGCCATAGGAGAGGGTAATGCAAATGTTATTAAGATTAAGGGGAAAATGGTTACAAGAGACGCAGCATAGGACTATTTAGGCTGATTGTGCACCGGGGTACATGTCCAGGAACCAAGTGTCAACCACACAAGCACACATACTACTGAAAGCGGAGCCTTGCATCATACCGATTGTCACTATAAGTCGGTTCCATTCGATTTAAAGGTATCACTGGTGGAGAAATCATTTTTGGTCGGTCGGCCAAATTCCACAATAGTCCCGGTTCTAATAAAAACCGGGACTAAAAAGCATCTTTAGTCCCAGTTTAAAAGTTGAGGGGTACTTTTTAATCTTTAGTCCCGATTGGTGTTACCAACCGGAACTAAAGATCATTTTTAATCCCGGTTCAAGAAGTTGTGGGGTTCAAGACAGACCCCAATTATTTTTACTCCCGGTTGGTATAAACAACCGGGACTAAAAATAGATCTTTAGTCCCGGTTGTTTATACCAACCGGGAGTAAAGAAAACCCCGAACCGCGCGCCACTCAATATTATCCGCGGACTCTTGATCTCCTCCCCTCTCATTACTCCTTCTCCATCTCTTCCTCTCCCCCTTCATCCCCTTCCTCTCCCCTTTCCCCTCCCGTTCCTCCCCTTCCCCTCTTTGAGCGGCGGCCGGGCGGAAGCGGCGCCCGGGCGGGCTGGCGCGGCGGCCGGCCGGGCGGGTGGGCGCAGCGCTCGGGCGGGCTAGTGCGGCGGCCGGCCGGCTGAGCTCGCGCGGAGGCCGCAAGGACGGTGGCCGGGAGGCCGGCGGCGCCCTCCTCTCCGCTGCTGATTTTTTTTTGAATTTTTGATTCATTAGATTTAATCTGTGATGTATGTGATATTGGATCTGATCTGGGAGTTGTGATGTATTTCTTTTAGGATTTGTGATGTATTTATTGTTTGAGATTTTGTGATGTGATGTATTGTGATCTAAGATGTATTTCTTTCCAATATGTGATGTATTTCTTTCCAGATCTGTGATGCTACTTTGATTTGGGGATGATTTAGGAATATGATCGGGGATATTTAGGGAGCAGATCGATTTGAGAAAAAAAATAACCGGGACTGCTCCTACCATCTGTTACCAACCGGGACTAAAGATGGATTTTTAGTCCCGGTTATTTTATCCGGGACTAAAGATGGGTATCTTTAGTCCCGGATTCGTAGT